GAAGGAAGGAAGGAAGGAAGGAAGGAAGGAAGGAAGGAAGGAAGGAAGGAAGGAAGGAAGGAAGGGGAAGGGAAGGGAAGGAAAGAGACAGAGAGAGGGAGGGAGGGAGGGAGAGAGGGAGGGAAGGAAGGAAGGAAAGGAAAGGATAGGTGAAGAAGGTCCTAAGATGGGGATAGTTGATTCTCCATTTGGAGAAGGAAAAATAAAGAAGACAAAAAAGTAAGAAGAATAGTACAGAAAGAATGAGTTAGTAGCTCTTAGCCCCACAATACTCACCTAAACTCAATTGGTTTTGGGGGTTTAATAGGTGGTCCCTAAATATTTTATCTGTCACTTTAGCTGTTTCAGTGTTATTATGAAGAAGATTTCCAGCATTTTTCAGAATGAAGTTCACACCTACTACTAGAATCCATGACTCTTCTGCATCTAATGGACTATTTTCCATCAATTCATCAGAAATGCCACTTAGAAATTTCCCAGTCAGCATCTTCATCATGTTGAACAAATTCTCTATGGATGGTTTCCTGTGAGAATGATAGAATCTTACATATGGACAGAACTTTAGATACCCCATTCTAGGGTAGTGGTTCCCAAATTTTAATGTGCGTAAGAATCACCCAGAAAGCTTAGTATGCAGAGCTTCCTGCACCCTACTCCAAAAAAATTTTATTTAATAGGTGAGAAATTTAATAGAAATGAATTTTCATTTCTAGCAATTTCTCAGGTCATGCTAAGGCCTCTGTTGCAAGGACCACAGGTAGCAAAGCTCCTATCTTGGTTCAATTCTCTCCATTTTCTTAGATGGTGAAATAGAATCAGAGAAGCCTAGTGAATTCACTAAGGAACTTAGTGACAGTTGACTCAGTTTAGTCTTTGCATCTCTTATGATCTCCTTATTTTCTTTACTTTTATTAATAACTAGTTTGAAAGGACATTGCATTCAATATGTGCAGCAGTAAAACATAAATACATTCATCTGTAAAATAACACCTCTTTTGTTTTCTTTATCAAGGCTGGCAGGGAAGCTCCATATGCTGAGACTTAGAGCACATATTGTAGCTGATCCATTTGCTGCTGTAATGGAAAGGTCACACAGAAAGCAGAAATATGGAGGAAATGCAAGTTTACCCTGTTCAACTGCCTGGATTTCACCCTCCCCATAACGGAACACTTATGAAATGAGTGAGAATTTCGGGTCAGTATGAGTTAAAAGAAGAGTCTAAAATCAAAGGAAAAGTTTAAGAACAGAGATCCAAATGTTTTTACATTTTTCTTTTATTTGAGAAGTTGTAACGTATTAACTAAGACACTTGGTTGGCATTTTTAGTGCTGTGCCCCAAGCTCCCGTATCTCCCTCCATACCCAGAGTAAAATGATTAGGTCTTGGGAGATCCCCCTCCAGTCTGCCTTCTTCTTTCCCTTAAACTATAACTTTCTCAAAGTATAGCCATAAAGAACAGAAAAACTGATGCCACTCACCAGCCATGGCTGCTCCTGCTTCCTGGACGGGAAAAAGCGAGTGAAAACTAAAGCAATTTCAACAGGCTTGCTTTCCTCTTAGTGGACCAGCTTGTTGATACTACCCTAAATGGAAAACTCCAGGTCCTCAAATTCTCCTTTTCTTTGCCAAGATACAATTAGACTCCTGATCTAATGTACAACTTCTTCCCTTTGGAAAATAGGAAACAGAGGGTGTGTTTTCTTTGTGATATAACAAAGTGATCAGAATGAAAACATGCACACTCTCACGAGAACAAGTCTCTGTGCTCTGTTTTTCCTTTTATTTTTAACACTGTTAATAAATCACATTAAACCTCTGTTTGTCTCTCTGCCGCCATCAGCCTCTAAATGGTCAGGAGTCTTTACTTCACTGATACTTAACCTCGGAAGTGTGAATTTGGAAGATAAGGGAAAGAAGCTGACTGAGGATTGCTAAGCTGTGATACTCCCTTCACTATTTGATAAACCCACACAAATGATCTCTTTTCTGCTGTCTTTCCTGATCCACTAGTTTTTAAATTGGGATGTTGTTTATCCATGAGATGAAAGTATTTTTGTTCATTAAATGAACAAAATATTCTTTCACTTATTTTTGAGATAGATATATATGTGCAATTAAAATCGAACAATAGAAAAATTTATAAAAATGGGAAAAGATCATCTAAGTTCTTTAATTTCACATGACAAGGTAACTACAATTATATGTTTAGCTTGCATCTTTGTGTAATTTTCTCTATAATTTTATAAAACGTTTAATACAAAAATGATATTATCCATGGCTCTAATCATTGGCCTCCTAGCATTTTTGGCCTTTATGTTAGTTCTGAACTGGCCATATTAGTTGGTTTTGGCCAGGGTAATGCAGTAGAGGGATCTGATGCAGTTTCCAGCCTGAGTTTTACAAATCCATTTACAAATCCTTTTGCCCTTCTCCCTCTTGAACACCTGAAGCTAAATGAGGATGGGCCTGGGCTGGATTGCTAGCTGATTAAAGTCATCATGTGGAGAAGAGCCCAGTTATCCCAGCCAAGGCCATGCTAGACCAGCCTCCAGCCAAGTGTTTTCCCAACATATGAGATATCCCAGCCTTGTCAGCAGAAAGGCCTACGCTACACACAGATGATGTCAGACACAATGCCAGCAGTGATGAAAAGAAACGTTCAGCCAACTGGCCACCTCATGAACAATATAAATGCTTCTTGTGTGAAGCCACTGAGTTTTTGGGTGTTTTGATACTGAACAATAGATAACTAACAGGCCTGTAATTACCCGCAGAATTTTTTTTCCTATACTGGTATTATCTTAGTTATATTATTGATAATTTGCTTTATTTAACTTCACAATGTCTGACAAACATTTTTTAAAAATCAACACATGAAACATTATCTGATTTTTGATGGCTGTATAGTATTTAATGTGTTGATAGATTATATTTTTAAAATGTTTTGAGCGGGTGCAGTGGCTCACACCTGTAATCCTAGCACTTTGAGAGGGTGAGGCAGGCAGATCACATGAAGTCAGGATTTTGAGACTTGCCTGGCCAACATGGTGAAACCCGGTCTCTACTAAAAATAAAACACTAGTCAGGTGTGGTGGCATGCGCCTGTAGTCCCAGCTACTCGGGAGGCTGAGGCAGGAGAATTGCTTAAACCTGGGAGACGGAGGTTGCCATGAGCCGAGATCGGGCCACTGCACTCCAGCCTGGGTAACAGAGTGAGACTCCATCCCCTCCCAAAAAAAAAGTTTTGTCAAAGTAATAACATTCACAAGGCAGCTTATCCAGTAGTACAGAAAAGGCAACAACAAAGATCAGATTTTTATGATTTTTTACTTTGCTCCCATAAACTACGTGTAATTTCCCTAAGTTATTTGCTTTTTTTTGGTGGCAATCTTTGCAACTCCCAATAATGTCTGTTTTATCTATTTCATGATGTATAGATTACAAACAATGCTCTTAGCTGTCTCACATGGAAAATGAAATGCAGCTCATTCACACTGCCAAATCTCTCTCTCTCCTATTCTAATATTTAATCATAGTGTGATTTCCTATTATTTCCTTGATTCATTTTGAAATAATAAATAATATACTTAACTCTCATTTCTTCTTTCATCAGTTTTGCATAGTACCTTAATTCTCCTCTGTGTAAGTTGATCGGAGTTTCCCTCGTGCAATTTATTTCATCTTTTCTCACCTCCAATTACACCATTTTTTCCCAATTTCCTATTGTGGTAAAAATATATACCACAAAATTGACCATCTTAACATTTTTAAATGTAGCATTCAGTGATACTAACTACATTCATAATAACAGTCACCGCCATCTATCTCCAGAATTCCTCTTTATCTTGTAAAGCTGAAATTCTATATGATTAAGTAATAACTCCCTATTTCTTTCTCCCCACTGCCCCTGACCATCACCATTCTACTTTCTGTCTCTGAATTTGATACCCTAGGTACTTCATTTAAGTGAAATCATACGGTATGTGGTATGTGTTTTTCTGTTGCTGCCTACTTTGACATGGCATAATGTTGTCAAGGTTCATCCATATTGTAACAAATGCCAGAATTTTCTTCCTTTTTAAGGCTGAATATAATTCCATTTTGTGTATATACCACATTTTGCTTATCCATTTATCAGTTATTGGATAGTCCCACATTTTAGATATTATGGACAATGCTGCTGTGAATGTAGGTATATAAATATATATTTGAAACCCTGCTTTCAGTTACTTTAGGATGTACCTATAGGTGGAATTTCTGGAGCATATGGTAACTCTAATTCTAATTGTATGAGGCACTACCATACTGTTTTCCAAGGTGCCTGTACGATTTGAAATTCTCACCAACACATCACAGGGTTCCAATTATTCTACATCCCTGAAAACACTTGTTATTTTCTGGGTTTTTTGTTTGCTTGTTTTGGGGTCATTCAAATAGGTATGAGGCAGTATCTCACTATAGTTTTAGGCACCACCCTCTTTCATCCTATTGTTGGGGGTAAGTCATAGTTTTCTTCATCAGCCAAGTATAGATATTACATGAGCCATATAGCTCGAAAATCCAGTTAGCCTCCTCCACTTCATTTCTATTCACCCACCATTTTCATTGAAATTATATTCTTTGTTAGAAAACGATACAGTTCATTTTGTCTTCACTTTTATTGAAACATAAAATGTTAAATATGCAAGCTGTACTAATAAAGGTGCTCCTTGAAGTTGATAAAGGAGGGCTTGGTTACTTGTGGCTTCCTGCAGGGGAGAGAAAGAACAGAAGGTCAAGATGGTTACCCCTTGCTGCCTTCCTCTCATCCCTCATCATGATTCTTTTTCCAACCTCTTCTATGTGCTCTAGCCACTTCCCTTGACTTCCATCTGTGACCTCTTAGCCTATTCACCAACATGTGATCTTTGTAAAACCTAATTTAAAGCATATTAATTCTCTTTTCTAGAGCACTAGAAAGGCTTCCTGTCTCACCTAGATAATAATTTTTAAAGATTTACCCTGTGATAGACAAGAACTATGAGATCTGGCTTCTCACTGCTTCTCCTAATATGTCTCTGCCATTTTCCCCACTCACTTTCTCTTTCGGTCACACTCATTGCAGTTCTTTAAACATGTTTAGTGTATTTCTATCCCCAGGGCATTTGCACTTGCTATATTCTGTGCTATGACACTTTTCCTGCATAAGAATCACATGGTTCACTCCCCAACTCTGTCCATTCTTTGTTCTGATTTCATTATTTCAAGGAAGGCCTTCCCCAGTGAAATATGTCTACGAGTACAGCATCCATCATTCTGTGTTTACCTTTGTCTTCCTTTATTTTTCCTTTTATCTTTTTTTGCTCTCTGGCCTTTGATATATTTACCTGTTTATGTATTCACTCTGTTTCAACTCACTAGACTATAAGCTTTCTGAGTTAAGAAATCTGTTTACTTTGTTAATTGGCATATTCCAAGCATCTAGAACAGAACCTGGTGCATGGTTAGTGTTGGCAAGTATTATTCAACAAACAATTCAATGTCCAAATGTAGCTCCATTGGATGGATTAGGCACTGGAAGCTGTTATGCTAAAATGATGCAATCTTTTGACTGGATTGTCAGAAACCAAGAGTAAAAAAGTAAACATTGGATTGTCAGAAACCAAGAGAGTAAAAAAATATGTGGTGAATATTGGAAGTATTGAGATCAACTTTATACATTTTACTATAAAATATAATTTTAAGTGTGTATCTGAAAGGGATATTGATAATAGGCTTATAATATAGTGTTAAATAAAGCTATTATGAGTGAAGAAAGTAATCATTTGGTCCTGACTTAATGTACCCAATCTATAACATTTTAATCAAAATAATAAAAAAAGTTACATGGGAGCTTGAAGGAACTTCTGGAGTGTGATTGAGGATTTGAAAGCAGACTCTGAGTGACTGGTGATCTGCATTGTGAGAACAGTCTGAGAACCAGAGACTGAATCAATACAAATTCTACCTTATAGGATGTATTTTGTACTATCTCGTAATGGTAGCTGAATGTCAGTAATGTGGTATTTGCTGTGATATTTTCACTCAGAGGATCAAAGTGCTGCTTTCTCCAAAGTTAGCTCCTTTATTTACTCTATTTTGTTCAGGGTTCGATGCAATGTTTGGTTACTTAGTGAGAGAGAGAGAGAGAGAGAGAGAGAGAGAGTGTGTGTGTGTGTGTGTGTGTGTGTAAGAAAGGAAGAAAAAAATAGAGTATGAGAGGTAAATGAATATAAATAGTAATGGAAGCATTAGAATGTTTCTATTTTAATAATTGTTACCCTTGGTTTTTCATTATCACATTCTGCCATGATTTTCCTTACCTCCTTGATTGATTAATTGACTGATTATTTGTAGAGTTGAGGGAATCCAAATGCATATAAGTTGGAAAAAAATAGCAGATAATCACCAGGCTATGTCAACAAAAACACCAGTTTGACCATTCAAGTATTCAGCCATCACTGGACCTAACCACCAATATCATGCTCTCATTTATTTCACATACCACCACCAACTCTCAATACTTAACAATTTTTAATTGCCAGGAAAGAGGTAGAAATATCTTGTCATGGATAATCGTTCTATGGTGGGCATTTGGGCTTTATCCCTTGGAGTTTCAAATGATTGCTGCACCTGAAAAAAGAAAATAGGCTGTAAATGAGATACAGCTCTTTTGAAGTCTCAGAAAGCATCTTGCACCATGAACCGGAAAATGCCTGGAATGAAAAGAGCTTTCAGATTTCATAGAACCAAGCCCACTGGCATTCTAACTCCTCAACATTGTACCCTACCTCTTAGAATTGACATTTCATCTCAGACTGTACTGTTAACATCTAAATGAACACCTCATATCTAATCTAAGGCCTTTCAACCTTCATTTCGTCTATATTCCATTTCTGACCTACAGATATAACAATCAGGTTATCCCTTGGAAATTGTTCATGAAAATTGGATAAGGAAGGATTCTGTACTCCCAAATCCCATCAGGTTTGATTCCTCAGTTGAAGGAAAAGTAAATCCCAGTATCTTAAAGACTTGAACACTGAACAACTTTCATATCTCTACCACCAAGCTGAACTTGTAAGCCTTTTTGCATGGGCTAATTGATAAGAGTCTACTTATCCTAAATCCAGAATTTTTAGTTCCTTTTTCTATGAATACCCTTGAAAGTACAATCTCTAACTCCTAATTATCTGAAAAGATTTAAAATATTTAACGTCCTAGATCTCTATTCACAGGAACTCTATCTCAATTTATGCTGCATTCCCTCCTCCTCCTCCTCCTCCTCCTCCTCCTCCTCCTTCTTTTTTCTTCTCCTTCTCCTTCTTCTTTTATTACTTTTTTTAAACACAGTATCTTACTTTATTGCCAGGCTAGAGTGCAGTGGTGCCATCTTGGGTTTCCTGGGCTCAAGCAATCCTCCCACTTCACCTTTCAAGTAGGTGGGATTACAGGCACCTGTCAACATGCCCTGCTAATTTTTTGTAGAGATGGAGTTTCTCCATGTTGCCCAGGCTGGTCTCAAATTCCTGGATTCAAGTCACTCCACGCTCCTGTGACTCCCTAAGTGCTGGGATTACAGGAATGAATGACTGTGCTGGTCCCAGATGGCTTTCTTTTTTAAACGCCAGTGTATCTTTATTTTCCCACAGGAGTTTTACTGATCTCTACCATTTTTACTTTATAAATAACTATACTATTATGTGTTAATAACAATCCCATTCTCTCTTTAAACAAGAGGGAGCATTTATCTATTTATTTATGTATCTATTGATTCAATAATTATTAATTGTATATCTGCTACAGGCCAGGTTTGTTGAGTTGCTTAGTAAATTCCTGCCATCTTGAAGTTTGCATGTTAGTGAGTAAAATCAAATAAATAAACAGACACAT